TTTTTTTGTCATATCTCATCGCGTCGCTGTGAACGTAATGTCTTTACGGGTTACGTGACAGTAACTTGATGACATGGTCGTCTTGCAGCAGATACGACCAAGCTAAAGTACGCTTTTCTAAATCAACGCCAAGTGGTACTACGAGAGATTGTAACTTTCTATGGCCATTTACGATGTTTGTTTTTATACAATGACAGTATTTCGACAGACTGAATTTCGTTCATCAAGAGGTCAAATTCATTCCGTTGACATTTTGAAGACTGATATCCGGTCAGTCGAAATACTGTCACTATATAACTTAGAATGTTATATGGAGCATTGTAATTTATGTCTGCATCCGCGACAGAAATTTCAGAACGTATTTAACACTACGATTGCTTTTTGGATGATCAGCTTTCAGTCAGCTTTTAATGTTCAGGGTAAGAGTAGAAGAAGCAGTAGATGGCGGTAAAGAAAGTGCAAAAAAGAAAATATAAAAGGTCGAGGAGAAGATACAGATTGAGTTGGAAACTGGTGGAGATGAAGATGAGAAAGTGGAAGATACGCTATGATCTTTGCCGATACGATACGAACAGACAAACGTTAGATATGCTCGATTTTTTCTTCTTTGCTGCATTCGGGAAGCAATTGAAAACAATGAAGATCTACAACGTCCATTTGCTACCAGGCTGAAGCATACTCTTAACAGCGTCTCTTGCACATTTCACTTGCGCTTTACTGATACGTACGCTGAGGTCGCATGAAAATCCGACTTACCAAAACCGAGGTTTTGTACTCTCGAGAGGGGCCCTTTACCTGCTCTGCGAGTCGGAATATTGGAATACAGTTATAGCAGATAGAGAAGGAATGTGTCAGTATAGCATTTTCATGATTATTAGTAAACTGCGCAGCGAAACAGGCATGAATCGTCTTAGCCATCACGCAGTGCCTGAGAAAAATGAAGACGGAACTTAGCTGATGTGCGAAGCTGCGTGACTTCGAATCTTTGTATGGACCTATCGTTACTTATGGTTATAAATGCTGGAGATTGGCCCAAGGAGTGATGCTGTGATGCCGAAATCATTAAATGGGTTAATTCAAGGATTGCTACGACTTGGTTCAACAAGATTTTGCATGCGGAAATGAACCGCTCTACTTCCAGCTCGAGAGATCAGAATTGCAGTGGTTTAGCCATGTGATACGGATACTACGCGGTTCAAAGATAAACTGCGCATTGCCTGATGTCAATCTGATATACCATTTCCAGACATCATAAATCTGCGTTGCTCCGTTGCTTAAGTTTTCCTAGCCTCTGATTTTAGCTGCGCTAGCTGTGTTAATCTTAGAATCTAACCTGTTGAGCTTTTCGATTTCCACTGACTCCGTTGCGTGCCTGATCATCTGTCGTATTGCTTTGAATTCAATAAACTGTTTCCTGTATATAAACGATACGCCAATTCTTGACTGAGTGATTTATTAGTCTCAATTACACTATAGTTTCTGGACAAGTATTTTGCATTTTGCTTACTAAATTAACTGACAATATTTTATTATGTGACATAATGAAATTTGGTGTTACACAGAGTGAGTATACTTCGTCCCCGTTTTCGGTAGTTAGTCAGTTTTGATCACCGCCTATACGTTTGGGTCTCGGTGGCTGCGGTATCATACGTTGCCTCCAACTGACCATCCAGTGCCAGTGCCTGCCATTCAACAAAAGGTAACCTGAGTCTGGAGCAGATTCCGTCGAACCACTTGCTTTCGGTCGTTCATAGCCTTTTCCATCGTTTTTGGCCAGCAGGTTGAGCAAGTAATGGCTGTTTCGTCTTCTTTTTCCTGAGCATTTGCTAGACGTGCTCAGACCATCGCAGCTGTGACTTCTCAATCTGAAGAATCAGTTTGCAGTTCTGTTTGTGCCAGTTGTATAGTTAACTGCGGAACGATGGGCTTACAACTCGGGCCATGTACGGTATATCTGTAGCAGTAGAGATGTACGGTAAATTTCTGTCTATGGCCTGAAGGCACTCTGCTAAAAAAGGTTCCGTTGAAATTTTCCGTTCTGCGTTCTCTCGTTGAATGCAATCATGAGTAGTTGATCTAAGGTTATTAAATAGTAATACCTCTCTTCGAAAGTGCGTTTAGCTGTGTGTGACGCTGCTTTACATAAACAGCTGCTAAGCAACCTGCTTTTCAAAGGTGGTGAATGATTGCGAAGACGCATTTTGTCGTTTTGATCGTAAAGCAAACCAGGCTCTAAATAGAGCATGCGACGGTGGTCATTTTGTGGGATTGCTTAAGCCCTCGCAGCAACTCCAGTCATCATCAGCTGTTTGATTTAAGTCGAATCGAACGAACAAGAGTGTTTTCGAGTCAAGCATTCGATCTACGTTGAATGGTTGAAACGAGGAAGGCGGTTTTACAAGTAGCCATTCAGAGTTTTTGTCACGATCACAGCAATGAACCGAGAAGCGCCGTTTCTAAAGCAAATGTGAGTTTTGTCGATGTTTTTGGTTTGCATGCGTTTCATCGTTTTTACTCTTCGCCTTTCAGGATCAATCCGTGTGATATCAACTTGGCCCGAAGCCGACTGAGTGCCGCTCTGCAGCTGGTCAGGGTTGATCATGCCAATGCGTCGTAAGTGCCCTCACCTTCGTTGCGTCCTTGACAAGATCAGCTTTATCTTCTTAGAGCCGCCACATCGGACACGAAAGACGCGTATGAGGGAACAGACGATACGAACAAGGATGCTAAGTAAACTCCATAATTAAAATCTTAATCTTTATTTTCTCACGTCATGCACATTCTGCAGTTACCTGTTACCAAGCCCTTGTAACGTTGATTGTAATGCTCGTTCTTCGACTGCTCTTGAACTAAGCCCTTGACCGACGGCAAACATGGCCGCGTTTTTACAGCAACGCTGCAAAACGAGTACTGAGTAAAATATTGTTTGTGATGGCAGCAGACGCACTCTCTTATGATCTTCAGAAAGCAGTCTCGCATAATTTGTTTATGCACACAATGTACTGTTAGGCGTCGATAACTGAATCTTGAAATGGTGTTGAAAAGAGGTATTCTTCTCATTCAGTGTACCACAAAATATTTGACTCTGCTTCGGCGCGAGAGAGAAAGAAATGGCAGTGAGTCGATTGTCGTCCAGAGACAGATGCTCCTTAAATCGCGCTACTCAGTCGTATTGATTCTGTCATGAATGAGGGATAAGGGAAGATCAGCTGCTAGTTAGGAATTCAATTAAAAAAGTCAACTTAAAGAAAAGGTAGTCGGCGACACGGTATCCACTTAGGAAGTACCTTTTTCAACATAAGGAATACAGTTAATAGAACGCTATTTACACCGGTAATGTCAATAAACAGGACTACATCCAAAACTCAGTTGTAAGAAGTCCTATAACAGAAACTTCTACAAGCAAGAGGTTTTGTTTATTCGACCGTATGATCTCAGAAATAAATCACTAATATGTTCTAAAAGATGAAAATGACATAAGTAAGATGAAGGAGAAGATCTAAGACATACTGTGATGATTTCCTAATATAAGTCACGGATTAACAGCGACAAAGACGCTTTCAGTGACTGCTTGCAGTCAGCTGTTGGCACACAGTTATCATGGGCGCCATTAACGGACAGGTAGACGTCGAGTGTAGCATATGGTTCGGCGTACTCTCCCGTCAGGTTATTGGAACTGTTAATGACAGCGGCAGTCGTCTGTTAAGCTCTTTCGGTTAAGCATAAACGGTTTAGTCGTCGGCATAACCTTTTTCTTCACAGTGATTTATTAAACCACGTCGTCATCAACCGTAAATGGCGCAGCTCCCCCTTACTCGAGACCTTTGCACTTGTGTTTGGTCTGATCACCTTATGGTCGTAGAGGAATTTCGTCAAAAATTAGCCGTATTGCATCGGCGCCGCTTGGTTGAAACACATCAGCTGCTCGACTTTGACAGGTTGAAATATGGCGAAGTGACGCTGTCATCCTACCAAAGAGGTGAAAAGTCATTTTATTGCCACCCTTAATGTTCAGTCCAGAAGTGGCAATATCGAAATCAAAGAAACCGTTATTTTCTCGGCGAAAAACATAGTTTGGGTCGGTAAGATGATATTCAAGTTGCCTCTGGTTACGGAGAAGACCTTTGCAGTTACGGTACAAAGGAATCAGGCTGGGAAAGGCTACTTGCAACACACTACCCTACTGCACCCTCAGAGACAGCTTATCGCTGTCTCGTTCGTACAGTCAACTAGAGCTACAGGTGGAACAGGCAGCTTTGTTTTAACTGGGAAATCAGGAAGATTGACAGGGTAACCAAAAAATGGTGAGGAAACAATGTTTTACGGGCGCTCTCTGGTAGGCAGGTAATTCCGTCCTTATCCAAGATGGATTTAAGGGTTACCATTGGCAGGTCAAGAGAAACGCCTCAAACGATAAATTGAGCTTTTCCAACTGTTGCTCAACGGCTGTTCTATTTTTGACTGTTAATTTTCTGCCAGCACTGTGGGTTAGTACAAATCCGCTCACTAAACTAGAGATCCAAAACGCTTTGCTACACCTCAAGGTGAACAAGGTCTGCGGATTGCGTCAAATTCTTCTGGAGTTAACTTAGTATGGAGGAACGGGAATTATAGAAAGCTTCATGCCCTATTTCGTG